ACAAGGAAGGTGCTTCTGAAGGCATGGCGGCCTCCCCCACCCGGCCCCTCTTTTCCTTAGCCAAGAAAACTCCTTTCCTGGTGCTACGGAAATGCTGAGGTGGATATGTGGTGGTGGGTGGGATGATTCTGGAAGTTAGCAACTGAATATAGAAACAGCGACAAATCTCAGGGCTGCTGCCTCTCCAAGTCACCTCCTTGGCGCCTCCAAGTTGCCTTGCCACTTCTCTGGCCCCCTCACCCTGCTCCAGGCACACTGGCCTCTGCCCTGTCACCTGTCAGACATGCTCCCCCCTTGGGGCCTTGGTACTCTGCCTGTGATGCTCATCCCTGGATGGCCTGCTCTTCCCTTCCTTCAGGCTCTGCACAGGCCTTCCCTGACCATGCGTCTAAAACCACACTGTCTCTATCCCCTATTCTCCCCTCCTGATTGCATAGAGTACTTCGAAGAATCTGACCTGTTACAAATAGTGGTGTTTACTGTTTATCTCCCCTCCTCACCCCCAGGAGAACGTTGGCTCCAAGGTGGCGCGGATGTTTTTCCCTCTTCAGTGCTCTATCCATGGTGCTTAAAACGGTGCCCAGCACATGGTAGAAGGCTCAATAAATGCTTGCTAAGTGAATGAAAGAAAATGGGGGTGAGGTAGGATGGTGAGGGGTCAGGTTTCAAGATCAGCCTCCCCAGATCACCACAAGGATACTAGGACCAGACACATTGCAGGATTAGGCACCGCCAGCTGTGGTTAGGTGCAAGCATTGTCTGTCAAGGAAGAAGGCTCTGCTTGCCTACCCAGTTACTGGGAAAGGCTCAGGAAAGGAAGAAATGATTTCTGTGGATGAAAACAGGCAAATGAAAGACATCTTTACCCACAAAATAATTACAGCCTCCCTTAGGAAAAAAGAGTGCAGTGATCAAGACAATCCTTTGCCTTCATAGTCACCATCTACAAAGAAACCTAATTTTTTTTTAAAAAAAGATTTATTTATCCATGAGAGACAGAGAAAGCGAGGCAGAGACACAGGGAGAGGGAGAAGCGGGCTTCTGGAAGGGAGCCTGATGTGGGACTCGATCCCAGATCTTGGGGTGAGGCCCTGAGCTGAAGGCAGGCACTCAACTGCTGAGCCACCCAGGTGTCCTGAAACCTAAATTTTTAAAACCAGTGTCACCCTGCGATTGGGCTTCTCCAGAGGAAGAATTTCCAGGATGGCAAGATCTCCTGCTTCTTAGATGAAGAAAATGTTAGTCATTCAGCTCTGTAGCACTTTCCCTCTGGATGTCAATTCAGAATCATTGAGCTTTTGTAGATACAGTGACTAGGAAAGCAAGTCAGTCATCACAAGCAATAGAAGCTGTGGGTCAAATGTCACTGACTAATCATCCTGTCATTGGTCAATTACCCATCTCCATGAAGAGGTGCCACTGATCTAGTTTCCTATCAATAAATGTCTGTCTGGGCACATCAGCAGCTGCTAACTATGGCCTGCCAGGATATCCAGCATCAGCCACAGGCATTGGTGGTCAAGAAATCCCTCTCCCTTTCTTCTTAATAATGTCACAGAAGAGGCAAATGCAGATCCTGACAACATAATGTTAGTTTCACAGAGACGTGTCTCTTCGAGTGCTCAGCTAGTTATACGGGGCTTCAGTTGCATGGATTTTCTCATTGCAAAAACAATAGCTGGGCTTAAGGAAGTTTGGCAGCTGAGATATACAATTCTTCCTTTGGTTGTGCTGATGCTTGTTACTGCCACTCTGAGTCCCAGAAAGAAAAATATAGTTTGGGGAAACCATTTTCATTCCATATTTAAAGAAAGCCAAATAGGCACTGTTCTCTCTTGCTTTAAGCCCTGATGACATCTTTTTCTGGAGTCAGATTGAGTATCTTTGATTGGGTAGAACTAGAGGTCACGGTGGCCTTGCCACACAAAGAACCTGTTTGTCTCACTCCAAGTTGCCATCTTGGCAGTGACCTCATGTGTTTCTGCTGAATCTAAAATTCTAGATCTTCTACTGTACCTGCTGTAATTTCCCCTTCTATCTTGACAGACTACCTCATCTGCACATTTGATCTGTCAAAGGATGCCTATTCTGAGTTGCCACAGGCTTTATGTGCCAGGTGAGCTGGGAGGAGGCAGCATGTAAATGATTATAATACAAATATGAGAAATGCTTCATAGGAGCTACACAGAGAATGTTTGGAATGACTGAAGAGAAGGTCTGTGTTAACACAGGAGATGATGGGAAGTTAGGGAAGCATTCCCAGAGGAGTGGAGTCTTGAAGGGGGGAACAAGAGCCATGTAAAAAAAGAGATGGTGGGAAGGTAGTGAAAGATACCAGCAATGAGAACAGCATGTTCCAAGAGTTGAGGGCAGAGAAGTGAGAGAGGGGTGGCATGTGCAAAACTGCAAGTAACTGGACAAGCTAAGACAGGCATGTGTAGGGGTGGATGGAGAAGCAGGAGACAAAACTGTGTCAACAGAAGAAGTCAGATAATTCTTAAATGGCTTCATCTGAACTTTCTCCGATAGTGGAGTGACCACATCAGATCTGGGCTGGGGAGATGGATGCAGGTGGGGAAGGAAGGGCCAGCTGGAAGTCTGGGAGATGAGGTAGAGAAAGAAAATAAAAGGTACAACTGTGGTAATAGCATGGGGATGGGGGAAGAGTGGAAGGCTTTGTGAGATATGCAGGAGCCAGTCCTGACAGAACTGGTTGAAGAGGGGGAGGTGAGCGAGAGGAGTAAATTCAGACTGAGTTTTCAGCTCAGTCTAGGGATAGATGAAGGGTGCCACCGAATGAGATGGGGTATATCTCCAGGTGACTTGAGCAGGGGGAAGGGGATAATGAAATTCCATTTCTGACATGTTGGTGTGAGATGCACATGTCACATTGTTGGGGGTGGGGCTAGAATACCAGGTAAGCAGAATACATGGGACATTAGAAGAGAGTGGGAAGAGCTACTAGGCTGCTAGTTTGTTCCATCTTCATTGATGAAAAGACTGGTCTTCAAATTAGAAATGGCACAACAAACATAATAAAGAGAAAATTGAAGCCCCAAATAGGTGAAGTGAAAGAAAGAATCTAGTCAATTTAAATGATTCCAAGTCTCCTGGCTCCAGTGAGTTACACACCATGCCTGCTGAAAGAAATTGCAGATGTAATCTCAGAGACACCATTGGTAATCTTCAAGAAACTGTGAAGACTATAAGGAGTGCCAGTGACAGGAGAAGGACAACTGTTCCCCAAATTTTAAAGTGAAGAAGGATAGACTGTAATGGGAAATATTCAGATAAGTTTCACACCATCTATGTCAAAAATTCTAGAATGGCTTACTAAATAGATGGCCTATGATTGCTTTAGCTAATGGATGCAGCTGAGAAAAAAGGAAGGATGGAGTATTGTTTGCTATCTGACGGAGGTTTATTTGCACTGGTAGCTTGTCCAGACTGGTGGTGGCTTCTCTTCCCCCTTTGTAAGCACAAAGCGCGTTTTGTGTGGTCTGCACTATGAAGGCATGCTTTCTCTATCTATGTGATTTGTTGCCTATGTTACTCAACCCGTATGTGGCCCTTTATGAAAAGGGCTTGACGGTTTATTTATTTTTTTAAAGATTTTATTTATTTATTCATGATAGTCAGAGAGAGAGAGAGAGAGAGAGAGAGAGAGAGAGAGAGAGAGAGGCAGAGACACAGGCAGAGGGAGAAGCAGGCTCCATGCAGGGAGCCCGACGTGGGATTCGATCCCGGGTCTCCAGGATTGTGCCCTGGGCCAAAGGCAGGCGCTAAACCGCTGTGCCACCCAGGGATCCCCGGACTTGACAATTTAAATGAAGAAATCCACAGTCTGAATTCTCCCAGAAATCCAGCATCATTTATCAGTGTGCCCTGGGACTAGCACGTTACATAACCTCTGTGGTTAGTAGCCTAAACATCAATAGACCTTTGCCTGTTAAAATCCTACCTTATTTTTTGTCTTTTTTTCTCTTTCTACACAATGACTTTAAGATGAGAATAGGAAATAACACAGCAAATGTGGTGGAGCATGATGGGGGGGGAAGACAGCCTCATCCCACTGATATCTCTGTCCCTGGCAGGCTAAGATATAATGTAAAATACCTTATCTACTGTTAAACATAAATGTAAACATATAAATATATGTACATTAGATTTTCAGAGACCCTGGAACCTTCAGAAGAAAAGAAAAAAAGGGCAGCCTATTCAATACCCACATGGCTCTCTTGAACTAAAAGTATATCCTCCAGGGGATGTCACCAGTCACACATTTCAAAATTATATGATCCTATAAATCAAGCAATGTTGGGTTAAAGTTCTTTTCTTGAAACAAAACACAACAAAATGAAAACAACCACCCAAAGTCCAGATTTTCATTAAGAAGATTTTTTGGGGGGATGCCTAGGTGGCTCAGTGGTTGAGTGTCTTGCCTTTGGCTCAGGGCATGATCCTGGGGTCCCGAGATCGAGTCCCACATCAGGATCCCTGCAATGAGCCTGCTTCTGCCTGTGCCTGTGTCTCTGCCTCTCTCTCTTTCTCTCTCTCTCTCTCTCTCTGTCTCTCATAAATAAATAAATAAATCTTAAAAAAAAAAAAAAGACGTTTTTAGTACCAGGTCTCATATTCACATGTTCAGTTCATATATAAATTTACTGAAGTTGAAAATTAGTTTTGATTCTATATAACCTTTCTTGACATTACCCTCTACCCAACACAAACTGAGATTTAAAAAAGAGGTGAGTTGTACTCGGGGGGGGGGGGCCTCTAATCTAGTCCTTCTGCAAGCCTAATTTTGGTGTATCCTCCCACCAGAAGATTCAAACAAGCACCCTGTATCTCCTTGTTCCCTGCCCTACCCTGCTTCAATATTTAGATCAACGAACAGAAATGTATCTTCACTGAAGTTACTGGGATCGTCATTATTCCAAAACAGAATTTGTACCTGCGTCTTCCATTTAAAAGTAACGAATGAAAAGGAATATTCTTACCGTATTGACCCGATCATGTATGGCTGTGCCAGTTGAACCACAATCGCACCACTTCCTAGCTGATGACATGTATAGCCAGAATCCCAATCGTAATTCTTGGTGTCGCCATTCAGCAAGGCATTCCGGCTTCGACTGACCCCTTCAATCACACTGGCACAATCGGCAATCGTTGCAACATTCTCCATGGGAACTGTGAGTCCAACACAAGATTCAGCATCAAGATAAGAGAAGCCAAATATATACTGATAGTGTGCTGTGAACAAAATGAATTACTATCCCAAATCAACAATAAAGGGGAAACTTGAATATCCTGATTATCTCAAGACAGGAACAAATTTCCCATGTCATATGGCTTCAAGAAAAAAAGTTGAATCTAAGATTGGAACAAATCAAACCACATGCAGTAATTAACCCTGAAGTATTTTACAATAAAGAAACATGATACCCCACATAAAATACAGAATTGATAAATACATTTCAAAATATTACTACAACGGGAAACTACGCATTAACTTACCTTAATGAACTACAGCTATCTACAAATAGAACAATTGAAAAACCAGAATAGTTTACCAAATAAAAAAATCTTGACTTCTAAAGAACCAAAAACCAGGGCACCTGGGTGTCTCAGTTGGTTAAGCAGCTGCCTTCAGCTCAGGTCACATGTCAGGTTCCTAGGACTGAGCCAGGCATGGGGTTCCCTGCTGGGCAGGGAGCCTGCTTCTCCCCCTCCCTCTGCCTTTCCTCCCTGCTCATGCTCTCTCCCTCTCTCTCAAATAAATAAATAAAATCTTAAAAATATAAAAATAAAAAACCCAAAACCCTTAAAACAATGAAAACACACAATGTTGAGTGAAAAAAGCAAGGCAAAGCAAAACACAGTATGAGTTCATTTACAAAGTTTTTAAGAAGGCAAAACTAGAAATGGTATCAATTCCTTTTCAGAATACCCAGTTGCCCTCAGCTATGATTTCTTTCCCTTTTTTTGTTTGTTTGTTTACTATTCCAGGCATTTTAACACACAATGCTCTTTTCTTTGTTCAAGAATTGCTGTATTTTGAAATGCCAGCTCTGTTTTGATTTGAGTCTCTCTCTCTACTTCAAATCCGTATCAACCTATTCTTTTATAAAAGCCCAGGGTTTCCACAAAATGATAGCTATCTAATAATGATGTAGATTCTCTAAATACAGAGAAGAGAATAATAAAAGTCTCTTGGGACCTCTTCTGTGCATTTACTAGTGTTGGGGTTTCAATTTATTATTCAACCCATTATCTACAATTAGGCCCAGCTATTTACATTCAAGATTTGTAACTTACTTTACATAATTTTAAAATAGGTTGGAAAAAAAGACAATTTCTCATTAGATATATACTGTACTTTTCAGTATATTATATTATATACTCTCTGAAGAAAGAGGGAGGGTCAACAGTACTACAACCATGCCAAAACATTTCCACCTTTAATAATGATGTGGAGTAAATAATCTTACATGTATCTCCTGCACGATGCATTTATTTTCCAAAACTGGGCATGCCTTATTGGAGGCCTCATCTTACACAGCTTCACTAATTGCTTTGTTCTCTGCAGATGAAGAAGCCATCCACCAATAAAAAAGGGAGAAGGGGGGGCACCTGGGTGGCTCAGTCCCTTGGGCACCTGCCCTCAGCTCAGGTCATGATGCCAAAGTCTTGGAATTGAGCCCCACATTGGGCTCCCTGCTCAGTGGGGAGTCTGCTTCTCCCTCTCCCTCTATGTTCTCTGTCTCTTAAATAAATAAATAAATAAATAAATAAATAAATAAATAAATAAATAAATAAATCTTTGAGAAAGGGGTGAGGGAGAAGGGGAAGGAGGAAGGGAGAGAGGATGGATTTCTGGTGAGGAATCCCTCAGCTATCAAGGTTAACTCCAAAGCAACAGGCAAACATATTGGTGAAATAACCTCTAAGGATAGTTTCCTTACAGAGAAGGAAGGGGCTCAGAAAGAAGTTCCTTCTGATTTGGAAAGACAAGAAAGGACTATATTTGGATGCTAAGTCATGGTACTTCTATCTCATGCAAAAGGGGAAGTACTGGGTGATCTGGAAGGCAGAACTTAAGGAAGCAGCACAAGGTGCACAGTAAAGTGAGCTGAGACATAAAATAATACTATAGATAGTAGCTTAGGCTGCAGTAACAGTCCCCATTCTCCCTTTCTACGGTGCATGTTTATTGTTTTTATTTTAAAATATTTATTTATTAGAGTATATTTACTTTTTGTGTGCCCAATGTATTCAATGATGATCAGAAAAAGTGGTTCTGTGGGCACCTGGGCAGCTCAGTCACTTAAGTGTCTGCCTTGGCTCAAGTCTTGAACCCATGGGATTAAGCACGGTGTGGGGCTCCCTGCTCAGCAGGGAGTCTGCTTCTCCGGCTCCCCCTGCTCCCATCCCCCAGCTCATGCTCTCACTCTCAAATAAATAAAATCTAAAAAAAGAAAAGCGGGATCCCTGGGTGGCGCAGTGGTTTGGCGCCTGCCTTTGGCCCAGGGCGCGATCCTGGAGACCCAGGATCGAATCCCACATCGGGCTCCCGGTGCATGGAGCCTGCTTCTCCCTCTGCCTATGTCTCTGCCTCTCTCTCTCTCTCTCTCTCTCTCTCTGTGACTATCATAAATAAATTAAAAAAAATTAAAAAAAAATAAAAAAAGAAAAGCAGTTCTGCTCATTGTATTACCCAAAGACCCAAGTAACAGAGGCTTTGAATTGATGTGAATTTTCTCAATTACAGCAGCAACGAGAAGAAAGTGAGCTAGGTCCTGGTTCTTAAGACTCATCTCTCAAAGTAACACACATCACCTCTCTCATGTTTGGGTGACCAAAGCAAGTCACAGGGCCTTACCTAACTTCAAAGGCAGTGGGAAAGTGCAAACCTGTTGTGTGCCCAGGAGAAGAAAAGGGAATGCTTGGTGAGCATTATTAACATTTACCACAAACATTAAACCAGGATGAAGGAAGTTTCATCAAAAAATAAATCTAGTCCATTCATGTAAAGAATAGAAAATATTGGGTAGCCCTGGTGGCGCAGCAGTTTAGCGCCACCTACAGCCCAGGGTGTGATCCTGGAGACACGGGATCGAGTCCCACGTGGGGCTCCCTGCATGGAGCCTGCTTCTCCCTCTGCCTGTGTCTCTGCCTCTCTCTCTCTCTCTCTGTGTGTGTCTCTCACGAATAAATAAGTAAAATCTTAAAAAAGAAAAGAGAAAAAGAAAATATTTCAACCTGTAAACATGCCAAAAAATTTATTTATCTAAGTTTCCTGCTAAAGGACCTTTTGATTGCTACCACTGTTTACTTTGTGATTACAAAGGTGTCTTGTGTACAGGGGTAAGAGTTTCTTAAAGGATTACATAAGATATTATACAGGTGTATATGCATGAATTACACTCATGGCTATGAGTTTCCTTCAGTTTTCCTGGATATTGCCAAAGTATTCACCAAAGTGGCTGTAAAAGTTTACACTCTCAACTCACTGGTCCACATCCTTACCAACTCTTGGTAACATCAGACAGATGACTGTGACTTGATATTTGTTTTAGCTTTTCATTTTTCTGTTTGGTGAAGTTGTATGGTTTTGGTCTCCCCCCCCCCCCCCAAACCCCCTCCCCTGGGATCATTCTCCACCTCTCTTCTGTAAACTATCTATCTTTATTTTTTGTCTATTTTTCCACTGTTTTTTTCTTTCTTCTTTTTTTTTTTTTAAGAAATTTTGCTGTTGACTTTTTTTATTTTTTTTAAAGATTTTATTTATTTATTCATGAGAGACACAGAGAGAGAAAGAGAGGCAGAGACACAGGCAGAGGGAGAAGCAGGCTCCATGCAGGGAGCCTGATGTGGGACTTGATCCCGGGTCTCCGGGATCACATCCTGGGCCAAACGCAGGCGCCAAACCGCTGAGCCACTGGGGATCCCCCTTTCCACTGTTTCTTAATTGATTTGTAGGATACCAATCTTTTGTTGGTTTATGTTTTGAGATGAAATATTAATCTTTTCAAGATTAGTGCCTTTCCTTTCTTGTTTATAAATTCTTTCCTATCCTCAATTAATAAAGATATTTTCCCATATTTTATTCTAAAAGTTCTCAAATTTTGCTTTCCACGTGGAGTTCTCTGATCTATTTAGGATTTATTTCTGATCTATCACGTGTGACACAGAAAATCTACTTTCATCTTCTAATCTTTTTTTCTTTTTTTTTTTTTCATCTTCTAATCTTATGGTGAAGGCAATTTCCCCACAACCATTTAATGAACTCTTGCCCCCACTAACTTATGTTATTTCAGTCACACACAGTTTTCATAGATATTCATGTCTCTTTTTAAGATTTGTGCCATGCTTCACTGATTTGCCTAGCCTTTCGCCTTTATTATGCTGCTTTAATTACTATAATTTTATAGTAATCTTAAAATCTGATCAAGTGAACACCCTTGTTTCCTTGCCTTTCCCTTCTTCTTTTCCTTTTTTCTTACAAATTGTGTTTGATATTCTTGGCTCCTTCAGGAAAAATTTTCATTTTATCTATACTTTCAAATACAGTTGCATAAAAATTTTCATAGTAGGTCCTCTTTTTCATGCCACATATTTGGATTTGTACCTTTTCCTTCTTTTTTGAGCAGGCCTTTATAGCTGGTCTCATTTATTAGTGTTTTCAAAGGACCAACTTTTGGTTTTGTTGATTCATTTCCTACTGCAGTAAATTCTACTCTTTGTATTTTTTAATTAATTAATTAATTAATTTTTGTGAGGAGGAGGCAGAGAGCACATGAGCAGGTGCCTGTGTGACTATAGTAGGGAGAGGGGGAGGGAGAGAGAATCTCAAGCAGGCTCCACACTCAGCACAGAGCAGACATTGGGCTGGATTCCAGGACCCTGAGTTTGTGACCTGAGCCGAAATCAGGAGTCCTGAAATTCAACTGAGCTGAGCGACCCAGATACCCTTGTCCTTCTTTTCATTATTTCTTCCTTCAAATCCTTTTAAATTATTGTTTTGTTTTCTAAGTACTTGAAATGAAACTCATTAACCTTTCTTCTTTTCATACAGTTAAAACTTATTTATGATTCAACTTCCTTCTTTCTGAGACACGTCCATTAGTACTCAGCAAAGTCTCTGTTTGAAAAGTGCATTTCGCCACCACTCTTGAAAAATAGGTTAA